GTCTGGTTAACAGTCGGGATACAGCGGAACAAATCAATAGGGATTAACCAGATCTCTAAATATGTTAACGTAAAAATGTATAATGACAATCATGGCTACATTACCTTACCACAAATGTCACGAACTGCAATTTCACTATGAATGAATTACCAGAGAATAGCAGAATATTGCAGAAACATTGATTGTGTGATAAACGAGGCCTTACAAAAAAACTCCGAAAACGTAAAACATTGGGTGATCGTCACATGTAGAATCTTTTTATTACTAACAATATTTTCACCATCTTTTAATACATTTAATAAACTGTCCACGCTTTTATGGAAGACCACAAACCAAAGATACGGACTGTCATGTTACGTATTTTGTTTGAACAAACTGATATAATTTTATATTCCAACAATGGTACTCAGGTGAAATTTGACGGGACGGTAAAAATAGACACACTCCAAATGTTGCAATGGATAGAGAGAGATTTCTCGGGCCATTGCTTCAGGAATGGAATATGCCTTTATTATTAATGAGACTTCTTCAAACTTTGCGGAGTACCTCAAGGATCAGTCCTAGGACTTGTCTTATTTATAATATTCACAAGATCACTTAATGCAATAGCCAAGAAACAGCAATTGTACAGGATGTTGAGGACTGTTTAGATGAGATTCACAAGTGGATGACTGTTCATTTTTTAAAATAGAATCCAGACAAGACTGAAGTCCTTAAGTTTACATCGGTACCAATAAACAACAACAAAAAAGAAAAAAACCCAGTTAATTCAACCAACAAACAAGGCAAAGAACATCGATGCTATGATTGATTCCACACTATCAATCAAGCATCACAATATATTCAAGAACAAGTCATAATTAGTTAATCCTGCTGTCAAACTTCAATAGGCGAAACGATCTTTTCACTTTGTAGCACCCTTGCATTGGGGTTCTCTACCCTTAGACGTCAAAGAATCAAAAACTCTAGACATGTTCAAGTCATTTTTGAAGAAAGGAAATGAAATGAAATGGTGTTTAACGTCCTACTGTTCTGCTCCGAACTGGGCTATGCCATACAGAGTATGCCATACAGTGTGCTATGCGGGAAATTTTGCCTTGACAGCGGCACTACGGCCTACTCTTATATCGAATTCCAACTGTCAAGGGATCTTTTACGTGCACGCCAATGTGTACACGGAACCTCGGTTTTTCGTCCCTTCCGAACGACAAGACAGCTGTCCTTGTCAGGCCCTCGTTCCTGCATCACTGACAAGGGGGAACCACGCCGGAAATTCTGGATGAATCTTCTCGGCCAATGCAGGGGTCGAACACCCGACCTCCAGCGTCTTACCCACTTAGCCACCGTGATCCCCCATTTTTGAAGACACATCTATTTGACTAAAATAAACACTAAAAGAATCAAGAGTGGGTGATATAAATCTTCAAAACAATATTAGCACTGTTTACAATAACATGAGTGTATTGTTCTCATCAATGCATCCGTCAAATCTGTAATGGCCATGTTTTGTCTATTATCTGCCATTAACGTAGACAATCGTGACTGTCCGATCAATCAGTAATATGTTTTGGAATTTTGTTCTTGTTTGGGGGATTTTTCCCCTCAAAAATCTTGTATCCGCTCATGATTACAGAAAGTTTCATCAGGAAAGCAACATACCATTAAGCAGATTAATATAAGCGGTTGAAAATTGTCTAAATTGAGTGTCCCACCAGAACTTATATAATATTGATAGATTGATAGTACACGTCAATTAATAACCAAAGATAATGCCATTTTATAAAGTTTGTTGGGAAAATTCGGTTACTGTACCCAGTGACATTTGGTGACGTATCTTGAGTACCGATTTAACATTAAAATGTCAATTGTACGTGTAAAAGACATCAAAGAACTATTTCATGATTGTGTAAACAAGACATATGAAACCAAAAGGAAATGAGACCACAAACCATAAAGGTTACGAAGACGATCTTCTATTACATAAAAATAGCGTTGTTACTCAAAAAATATACACAAACCAAACTCGTCGCGTATTGACATGTAACTCAAATTAGCAAAATAACTCTCTTTTAAAGGTTCCAATAATAAAAAAAATCTGTGTAGATAGGTTTATCCCATTCACCAACCGAACATCCCATTGAACATGTACAAATTAATAACTGTGCCCATTACACGAGAACACCAGCGGTTGCCAGGCAAGATACGCCCACATTTTGCAAGAGATGGATAGAGTACAGGCTAAAACGAGAGATTTTTTTTTCGTACAGGAACCAAGATTGGGTTATAAACATACATTTCAAGTTTTATCTAAATCAGATAAAAAGAATTGTGACCTCTAGAGTGTCCACAAGCTATAAACACGATACATGCCAATATCGAAAGGAAACGAGATCTTTTGGAGATAAACCTATATTTCAAGTTTCGTCAAAATAGGATAAGAATTGTGACCTGTAGACTGTCCACAAACAAATTGTAAACGGACACACGGGCGGACGGAAGGACGACAGGGGCGAAGACAATATACGTCAACATGAAAATGTGGACGTATAAAAATGAGTCTGATAATATTAATAATAATTCGATAAATGTACAAAGCAAAAGACATTTTTTTCATTACGAGTAGAATCTAAATACATGTATATATAGTAAACCAATATGAGTAACTAAGCGCGCAAAAGAAAATAACTTTTACTTAGATGACAGGGAAATCTCGTGCATCTTCAATTTGATCTTTTAATAAGCATTAGCTCTACATTATGGAATTTCCAGTTCAAATACTTACATAAAATCATCTATACAAACGATTTTATATTCAAAATTACATAAAATTAAACTTCCTTGTGCAATTTCTGCTACCAATTCTTTGCTACGGTCGATCGATAAACTATTTTCTTCCCGAATGTTTTTGATCACCCGACAATCCGTCCTTTTGTGAATATTTTGGTTCGAACTGGTATCCTGTCACAAACTCAATTTACAAATCTTCTTCTTCATAGGAATTATTAATGTGAAGAAAATCGGACGTTTAATAAAGCTATTTCACACACACCTCACTGGTTCATGGGGGTTGGGTGTCCGAAGGCTGTAATTGTACATAAGGAGTGGGTCGTGGGTTTTCTCTTGGTCCTCCGGTTTCCTCCCACTGGTTCATCATTTGGCTCAAGATTTCTTGCAGTGCACATCACTTGAGGAGAATATCCCTGGGACATTATCGTCAGCAGATGGAGGAGCTCCGCCTGGATGATCAAGAGTCCTTCTCCAACGTCTTGAGAATCACCCGTGTTCGACCAACCAACTACAAGGGGGCTCTGGAACCAAGAATGAAGCTTGTCATCACACTGCTTCATCTCGCAACAAAATATTCCCATGCCACCATGCAAGAAACACAATAATATGCTTGTTGGTGAAAGAAATCTGTGATGCCTTGGTGATGGCACTAAAAAATGGTGTCATCATCTGCCCTGTCCTGCCCCGTTGATAGAGACACATGGAACGAAGCTTCTGGGGAATGTCCCACGTGCCTGTGGAACCATGTACCACAACTACAAAGGCTTCTGCTCAATAGTGTTAATGGCCTTAGTAGATGCAGATTACAAATCCATGTGGATAGATGTTGGTGCTGGTGGAAGCCAGTCTGGGGCCCAGATCTACAACCATTCAGATCTAATAGAATGCTTAGAAGATGGCTCCATTGAACTCCCTTCACATTAAATTATAGAAATAAATAAATGAACACCCCAATAATAAATTCAAATATGAAAGGTTTTATAATTGCATGCAGTAACATTAAATTATAGGTTTTTAAATTATGCAAAAATGTCTAAATAACCATGATTTTATTCTCCATCACATGAATTAGTACCGCGACCCTACAAATACAATACTAGTAAAATATAAGATACACAATAAGAAAAACGTTTTAAAAAAATCGCCTACCCCAAAAAAATAAAATAAAATAAATAAAGTATTCATTATTGATGCTCGACCACGTCACGATGTAACACGTCCCAAGGAGGATCAAAGTACGGTGCAATTCCGTTCATAGTATGGCAATTCTGTTCCTTGTACGTCCATCTCGTTTTTAAAACGTTGCCCTCCATCTAATTGCAGAACGAGGTTCAGAATTCTGGAGCACTGTCAGCCCGGACAGGCACGGACTGGTGATGATCTAATTAAACATGTAATTAATCCCATATGTCATTTACAAACTACGTATGATCTGTATTTCAAAGAAATACGCACTGGTCAGTAAGCATGCCATGACGAGATAAAAGAGACAATTGCATGTATGACCATGAGCTTATCTATTATCCGAATATATATAACGAGACGATTAGAGAAGAGAGGCTTGGACGAGTGCATGGACCCACCCGAGTTCAGCCGCTGCCTTGGCAGAGGGGCAGAATGGTGGATTTGATATTGTTATATATAGTTCCCGATGTAGTGTAGTCTTGTTGTATCTATGTAACTGTTTGATATTCTGTTCCCGTTGTAAATAAATGCTGATCTCTGTTATCACTGAAATAGTGTTACGCGTTGTCACTTAAAAAATTGGGTATGTGTTTTCGTGAAAAATTAATAAAAGTTTAATAATGAAAATATATTTTTCACTTTAATTCGCATAAAGAGCTTCATTCTGTCATTTATTTCATAGAAATTGGCAGGTAGGACAAAAATTGTTATAACGTCGGTGGTCATCTTTGATGACGTCATAGTGGAATACCCTACCATGTGGTGAGTGTCCACCCAGGTCCAAAATACTGACTAAGCCACCTACTAAACATTTCTACAAAAGAATTCTCCCTACTCAAATTTTCCTACAGACCCAGGACTATAACAACTCTTCTTCCTTATGTTGGGCTCAAGACGTAAAGTGATTTTAAGGTAAGTCTAGAATATCAAACCGATCGATTTAGGATTAATATTAAAGGGAATGAACCCCATTGCTTAAAAAATATCCCTTTAATAATGAAAATTAAAATCACATTTAACTGTCCTACCTGCATGAGAAATGCAACCAATGCACCGGATTGATGAGCGCCAACATACATAGAAACAATCGTATGACGTCTTTTAGAGAAAAGATTTCCAACTTGCAGGTTAGTGAACAGAACAGATGTTCCAGCAACAGCAGTCAGACTTAACGCAGGAACTATTAACCAAGGAATACCTGAAAAATATGGTTTCAAAACATTTAATGGCAAATAGAAATCCTGACATGCACAGATATGTTGCGTCACTAATCTTTAGTGTCACACCCATAATGTTTATTCAATTATATAGTGCGTCTTAGGTTGTTGACCTGAAAACAAAATTAAAAGGGTGATTACGCGTTGGTTCTCCGCCCAATATTGAATTTCGTCATTGAATTGGAAATGAAATGAAATGAGGTTTAACGTCCTACTTTTTTGCTACGACTGGGCTAGCCAAGACAGTCATTGAATTGGACGTTCACATATGTTAACAGTGAATGTAATACGATATAAGGGAAGGACGTAATATTCTATAAGTGACAGCGTCTAAGTCAACAATCTTAATTCTAACACTAGACCAGATTATCTTCTTAACTAGAAATAAATTCGTTGAACCTCGATAATTTAAAATGATCAACTAACTGAATCGATTATATCTACAACAAGCCAACAGTCAGGCTGGTGTCCCCCGTCCAAATCCCAAAATAAATAGATGACACATATTAATTAATCGCACATTTATTTGTTTTCAAAGGTATCAAGCAATCAAACCGATTATCAACTATGCACCAAGTTTCATCCCTCTCTCTCAGATAGAATCAACGTTATCTTGTTCCAAAGCATCGACCAATGAAATTGCTTACCCCTGTTTAACTTTAGCTCGAAATGTTAATCATTGAACTCAGTCAAGACATCCACCTAATGGACATCTACATCAAGTTTAAACATTCTATCTCAATTAAAAGCAGAGTTGTTATGTTCCCAAAGCCTGGACTAATCAAATTGCTTATCGATCCTTAGCCTAAGCAGAAAATTCTCATCATAAAACTTAGTCAAGGTAATGATATAATGAATCTATACTCGGAGCTTCATCTTTCTCACTTAATTAAAACCAAAGTTATTGGCCCCAAAGCATCAACCAATCAGATTGCTTATCTCAGTTTACAGTAAGCAGACGCTGTTTATCGTCGAACTCCATCAAGGCATTCACCTACTGAACACCTACATCAAGTTTAAACATCCTACCTTAACTAGAGAGTTATTGTGTTTCAAAGTCTCGACCAATAAAATTGCTTATCGCTCTGCTTACCCTAAGCAGAAAATGCTTATTATGGAACTTAGTCAAGGTATTGATGTGATAAAACCATACACCAAGTGTCATCACTCTCACTTAATTAGAACTAAAGTTATCGTGTCCCAAAGCATCAACCAATCAAATTGCTTATCTCTGCTTACCCTAAGCAGAAAGTTCTCATCTTCTAACTCCCAACCCCATCAAGTGTGAACATTCTAGCTCAATTAGAATGAGTTATTGTATTCCAAAGTCTCGACCAATCAAATTGCTTATCGCTCTGCTTACCCTGAGCAGAAAACGCCCACTATCGAACTGAGTCAAGGTATTGATGTAATATAACTTATCGTGTCCCAAAGCATCAACCAATCAAATTGCTTACCCTAAGCAGAAAATGCCCATCTTCAAACTCCACCAAGGCATTCCCCTAATTAACACCTACACCAAGTTTGAACATTCTAGCTCAATTAGGAGAGTTATTGTGTTCCGAAGTCTCGGCCAATCAAATTGCTTATCGCTCAGCTTACCCTGAGCAGAAAATGCTCATAATCGAACTTAGTCAAGATAACGATGTAATTAGAACTAAAGTTGTCGTGTCCCAAAGTATTCGAACTCCATCAAGGCATTGGCCTAATAAACACCTTACACCGAGTTTGAACATTCTAGCTCAATTAGAAAGAGATTTATTGTGTCCAAAAAAGTGTGACGGACAGACAGACGGACGGACGGACCCATTTTAATAGTCCCCTGCTTTCTTCGAAAGGCGGGGGACAAAAATAGTCTGAAGCTATCGAACTTAAGTTCAGTTCTAGGAGTGTAAAAAATGTAAGAATTCTGAACATTAGACCTTTCGTTTGTCAGAGCTTAAATGAATAGTATTTAGGTCATCTAAAAGGTTAACACTTGCTTCTTTTCTCATTTCAGGCTAATTAGAAAGATAAATTGTATTGTCGATATTAACAATTACTGACACGCGTAATGATGAGACCAAAATGGCACAATAAAAGAAGCAAACGGGTCTGCCGTTAAGATTCGATCTGTCTTTCTTTCTCATTGCACTGTCATTCAGGATGTCTTTTCATAATGTAGTCGAGCGAATAATTAGAGGGGTTTCCGGACAGCTGAATGTTCACCCAGTGCAGTTAACAAAACCCAGGGTTGATTTGATTTGACAAGGTTGGAAACCATGTATAGATAGATGCCATAAAAGTGTCATCGTTATGAGATTAAACATTTCAATTCACCTTTCAAGTCGATAAAAGAATAACGATATCGCTGGATTGAGCTGAGGTGTTACGGGAGTTTTAAAAGGAACTGTCATCAGATCAAGCAGTGCACAGTAGCCCATTTGACTCTACTCAGCTCTTGAAATGCAAAAGTTCCTGGAATTTTTATTGAAATATTTCATAACAGGTACCGGCTTTTAAAATAGAAACTAATTATTTCATTGTGCGAACTTTTCCCTGAACACAAACTTTCAACTGCGCCTGAAACTTTCCGGTGAACTAGAGAATTTATGTCGGCAAAACGTCTTACACTCATCCACGAAATAACAATAGCGTCAGCTATACCGTCAGTGTGGGTCCTTGGAGGTCTGAGGTAAAAGCTAATTGTTGACTGACGGATCGACGGAGGGACAGGGGTAACTACATAATACGCTGACACTGAAATGTTTGGTAATTAAAATGGTATATTATATGAAGATTCTATGTACACTACAGATGGTGACCTATGTAGGTACTTACCTGGTTTGGTAAATGTCATCATCAAAGTACCAACCGCGAACACAAGTCTGTAATATAAATAATTAATAATAATCGTAATTAGATATTTGATTCTTGGTGTTGCCAATGTTTTGATATTTCCACTAGTAGTATTAGAGGAGATCCAAATACGTCTACATATATTTTTGACCATTTGAGTTTAACGGAGCTAAATCGCACCTAGAAATTGACACAAATGGATCGCAACGCATATAATAATGTAATATGAATGTATATAAACTGATTTACATTCAAACATTCCCGTTTTTACTCTAATTTTAAATCAGTTATGTTCGGCGAAATACTCCAGAAGTCTCAATCGAATGGCAATCTCTAGCATCTGGTTATTCCAGTCTGCATCGTTAGTATTTATTGCGCGTTCTCTCAAGATAAGAATATGGCGTCACCGTTTTGCATGACTTGTGGAATATGTCTAGCCTCGTTCTTCGAGTCCCTGTTACAAATGGCGCTGAAACGCATTATGGTACACGATTCGTGTACCAATGGTAAAATGTTTATTTTGTCTTAAATGGTGGATATCAGAAGATCATATTTTCCCGGCAAGATCACAACATCAGTGTTGATTTAAATTGACAAATAATTTGTGTTTTTAATGTCGAGGACTTTAGATGATAAAGAGTTAGAGACTTAGCTACTTTAAAAGAAAAAGCTGACCATTCGTTCGTCTCACTCCATTCAACTCAAATATTATATTTCCCAGATTCATTTATTATTTTACACATTTTACACATTATACTCAATGCATGGACGAAATAATATATTCAATCATAACCTTTGCGATAAAAAGTTCTATTAATTATTCATCCTGACATTTTCAAGACGGGTTGCCGAGCACGGCACAATTTGTTGCCGAACAAGGAAGTAACATGGATAAATGATGTCAACAGATTCGTTGAAAATAATAATTTTATATTTGAATTAGCGCTTACACACATACCTAATAGGTCAATAACTACGCGACGAAAATAAAGCCATGACGACTGTAGTCCCTATTAAGTGCAGTAGAATCACACCGCACGTAACAACTAAACTGAACAAAAAATAGACCACCGGACAAGACACTGTAAGTAATAAAAAATACTGACAAATCAAGACAATTGGTCCCGAAATGGCATTATACAGTTACGGGCCCGCGGTGATACAAGCTTCGCTTAAAATGAACGGAAACAAAACTTTCCAACAATCGTATTATACTAATGCAATCTGATTAAAACACAGATCCTATTTCGTTTCGTTTTTTATAGTTCAAAATTTCGTTTTACTTGTCTTTACTTCACCAGGATCTGGAAGGGTTGTTATATAACCCGCGTTCTGGGTGATGTTAGGGATTAGCCAATGAAACGGTCTGTTACAGCGAACTGTAGGTAACCCACTAGAAACATCAACGCTGATTGGTTAATCAAATGTCTGACGTAGGGTCAAAAGCGGCTCGCATGACCCCGACGCGACCTCCCATTACAACCAGTCAGATCTCCATGCAGTGTAAGCCATCGAAAGTGTAAAAAAACGAAACGATATATAGATCTGTATTTTAATCAGATTGATACTAATGTATATACCATGTCCGACTGTAGAAGTGAGGAAAACCCCTAACAAGTCAGAATGTCTGATCCCATTAGCTTCATCTAATGCATTTAGACTGTATTTAGATACCGTACATGTGATAAAGGAAAATTGTAATGGGTTTATGAATTTCCCTCTAGGACACAAGGGATTTTCATGGGAACAAATAAACTGCCCATGGATCTGGTATCCGATAGGGTTAAAAACAATACAGTAGTAATATTGACGTCTCTAGACCTTGTAAAACATTAGAAATGTACAATTTGAGAATAATAAATATCGTATTATTTAACTGTATCATTGCATAGACTTTGATCAGGTAGTTGTTGTGCATTTTCTCGTAAAAGGACAACGGAGCAGCAAAAGTTTTCGGATGTGTTGAATTTGGTGTGCATCGGATTTTCACCTTGTGAAAGCGGTAAGGGTTATATTTGTTAACGGATGTTTTTCAAATTTGGTTTGGAGGATTGGTGTCATGTGGGGACGACTCCTATCGGTAAGTCATGCCCCCTCAGCCGAAAAGTTTGTGAATGCGATAGAGGCCACAGTTTTTAACAAATCTTTCTCAAATTTGGTGTAAAGCATTGGGCTCATGAGAGGACGAGGACGAAGCCCGTCGACATTATTCAACATTCCACAACCTCCCATTCCGGGGTAAACCCCCTTTTGATGAAAAGTCTAAACGAGATAGAGGCTATAGTTTTTAACGAATTTATTTCAACATTTGGTGTGAAGCATTGGGGTTATGCGAGTATTCGATTGTTCTGGAGTTACACCCCCCCCCCCCATCTTGTTACAAACTAGTCTCGACACCAACAAGGCTGAACATATTATTTTCCAACACAAAACAGTGACCCTAGGATACAAAATTCCAAAATAACTATATTACTCACATACACTATTTCACTGTCAATACCCCTTTAAATCGTACACCCGCGTGTTATCATGCAAACGAAAAATTCAATTTCATCACTGTCGTGCCAAATCGCGGTTACACCTACAGACAAAATGATAGAAGTTGGGGGCAGCTATTATCTCTCCATTGATACTCTGATCTATGTAGTATAGTAGTCCAGTCATAGATTTAGAATGGCTTTCCTGTTTCCATGTGTTGTGGAATTCCCACCTGCTTTCTACCACGCGGTTTGAATCCGCCATTTTCTTTTTCAATCTTGAAAATGACCCTTCATATCGTTGGACGAGTGATGCGAATAATCGTTAAACTGACAACGCTTAGCGAAACACTATATCGATATGTAACGCTTTCATTTACATCATCATATTCCGTTTAGTAATAAAACACTTCACCGTAACGGTTGTATAAATGTAAACAATGTTTCGCAGGTAACTTTCGTCTCCGAATATTTAGCAAGTCTTTGGCCTTATGCTAATATCAATGAGCAAAGTGTTAAGTTAAATACAATTTTTTAATTTAAACAACTGCGGAATACGATTAATTCATATCAAAATACAAATAAGGTGTCATTTACGGGATTTGATAATATTAAAAAAAATGAACTCATTGATGCGAGCAACACTTCCGTTGAGCGGTAATTCGACACAGAAAGGTAAATAAAAATGCAGTGAATACTTTTTGACTATTATCACAATTATCACTACATCAGGTGGTAAATCGTAATATTATAGACTACTGCGCTTCATTTGCAAGAACTGTCACATTTGTAATATCAACATTATTCATATGGACCATTCTATAAATTGTGAAAACAGAACTGTTTAAATCTAAGCTATCATGGTTACCGTTGTCAGGTGTTGGTAACTGTGAGCAAAAAGGCTCGTTTCTAAATTTTGGATAGATTATTATTCATTTATGTTAGAATAATAATCATTTTGATGGTTTGATATAGAATTTGTTACCTAGATATCCTTTTTGTGGGACAAATTCTTTTCTATGGAGTACAATCAAAAATTAAACAATGTGTTGGGTGTGAATAGATATTGAAGAAAATTTATAACAGAATATGTTACTGTAAAACTTAGTAAATATGTCCAATGTTTAATTGTCAGTGCATCTTTATGCTTCCAGACACAAAGTTTCGAGGGGTGAATTAAGAAGTCATACAAATGTTAGCAATGTGTATTCATTATAAAAATTGCTGAAAACAAAAACAGTGTCAAGGAAATTGTGATCAGTATTAACTATTTTCCATACAGACCTGAAACATTTAATCAAAATGATGTTTATGATGGTACTCCATACAAAAAGTTTGAAAGTAGTCCCTTGAAAAAATGGAGGATATTTAAAAAAAAAGTTTGATTATATGGATGTGGTGTTCTAAAACAAAGATAATTTTCAAAATTTGAAGTCTTGATGATTGTAGTGTATATATTCAGGTATCTGTGAGACTGTGTGATTCCCCATGTTGAGTTGTTTACCATGTAACTGCTCAGTGCTGAATGGTATATTTGCTTCATATTTTCCAAAGTCATTAATTTTGATTTTCTTCCATTTTTTTATTGTTCAGTATCACGTTTAGACATCAAAATAAAGTCACTAATGGTGTTGTGAATGTTTTTTTTAGGATCCCCCATTTCAGGTGTTGTGACAATTTTTGTCACTTTACCTTGTCCAAAACAGATTTGTCAAATTGCATTGATGAATGTATAAATGTATACAGGCATACACATATTAAAATTATCTTCTAACTTGTTTCGTTGCGTGAAGTAGTCGATTTTCTATCAGTCACTTTGGGCATTGCAAACTACTTGATATTTAAGAAAATAACACAGGGGCGATGATGGTAAGCTAACAAGTTTGGTGCAGTTTGTACTACTTCGCATTGCTACAAGTTGTACTTTTATACGAAACAACGCGCAACATGATTTCTATTAGTTTGGTTGATAACAACTTCTCAACAAAATTAAGAAACCCATTTATGTTGCTTTTAACAAGCCAATAACCTGTCTACAATGTTTACTTATAGCTTTCTTCTTGATAAGAATTATAGATATGGTAATGTGTTCTCCATGATTTCCATGTAACTCATGCTGCACGTGCTGTTCACCGGGACCAGTCTTATAAAATGCACCCCCATACCTGGTTGAATCATTCACACTACAACGTCAGCAGCATGCCACGAATCACGACAGCTAAGAGGAACCAGACGCTTGAAAGACTCGACGCTGGCTACACTGCCCAATCCGTTGCCAATCACTTCCAGGTCAATGTTCGGACCATCTACGGGCTTCAGCAACGCTTTCGGGTCACCAACACCACGGATGATGGCCCCAGAATTGGTAGACCAAGGGTTGCCACAAGGCGACAAGACCGCCATGTTGGGCAATCCTTTCACACAGGCATCTGAGACACCACGTCAGACAGTGGGAACACACGGAGGACCCATCAGTACCGCTACAGTGCGCGGACGTTTCACCAGAGAGAACATCCATTGCCGTGGACCTTACCGTGGACCGATCCTCACCCCTCACCATCGACGTGGGCGTCTACAGTTTGCCCAACAACACCAGAACTGGTGACCCAGGCAATGGAGAACTGTTCTGTTCACAGATGAGAGTCAGTATTGCGTATCAACTGCAGATGTCAGTACCAGACTATGACGTCGACGTGGCCAGCGTTATTCTGATCAATGTGTCATGGAACGAGACTCCTGGGGAGGTCCAAGCATAATGGTTTTGGGTGGAATCGGCCTGAACCAGAGAGTGGATCCTGTGGTGTTCCAGAATCTTGGTCCAGGGAGAGGAGACGGCATCACAGCAGTGCGCTACATCGATCAAGCTCTCAGACACCACGTCATACAACATTTCTCACGCCATCGAAACAACGTTTTCCAGCATGACAACGTCCGTGCCCAACACCGCCAGAGTTACTCGGGACTTTCTACAGCCCTTAGTCTAAACATCTTTGGGATGGAATTCAGAGGAGACTTAATAACGTCTTACCGAGACCAAACACAGCCGATGGATTGCGCCAGGCTTTTCTGAGGGTGTGGTTCCTGGTGTCAATGGCGTTCATCAATCGTCTGGTCTACTCCATGTACAGACGTCGTGCTGCTGTTATTGATACTCGCGGTGGACACACCAGATACTAATGTATAGACTGTGTACAGAATCTAAATCTCCTCATAATGTCTTGGAATGGTGATGAATTAATCACTAATGTGTCAACATACTGTTCACAAAATATTGCTTTGATCCATTTAGTAAGTCGTTTTCTAGAATGGTTTGATTAAAATGCCTCTCTGATTTTGAAATCGTACTGACAGGTTTTTTTTTGCTATCATTACATAGAGCTGTCTTATTACCCCAGGGAGTGGCTATAATTTTTGGAACAATCTCACTACTCTAATTAAAAACAAACTAAAATATAACTAATTAAAAACAGACTAAGAAATAACCAATTAAAAACAGACTAAAAATATAACAAATTAAAAACAGACTAAAATATAACTAATTCGAGTATTATTTTGTAACATAAATTCAATAATCTATATTGATCAACAAACGGCCAATCAAGTAACAACCCCACAACTGTCTGTAAATATCCTGGCCCTTGAACTTTCCTCTAATTTGTCAAAAGGTATTTTCTTTTAACATAAACATCGCTCAATAATCAACCAAAAAATATTTTGACTTTAAACTTTGTGCCTATTTCTTCAGTCTCCATTAATATCTATTTAAATAAGTGTGACACATGCTACTTCAAAAAATCGCTGCTGAATAATCTTTGTGTTATTATGTAACACATCAAACTTAGTTTTTTTTATGTGTAATTACTTTTACGGCGTACATGTCAGAAATTATTCAAGATATCTTTATGAAATTTTATGAAATTTGTTTTCAAACTTGCATCATTCATACTTTGAAAGTATAATTCTTAAAACAACTTTGGTTGTAGTTTATAAATGAACTAAATTTACTATAACCAGGCATTGATGCCTGCTACTAATTGTTGTTATACATCGTATAACATGAACACTGCAGGTATTTGGTTGTTGATTACCAGTAACACAGATACATTGTCTATCACTGTATCTTCCAAAACATGTCCAAGTTCTCATCAAGGTGACTAAATAGTGGCTTTGAGGGGTTTTAAAAAAATAGACGAGGATCCCGAAAGCAAAAACTAATGCGTTGAATTATAACCCTATATGTTGACAGAAAAAATGGCCTAGTTAAAGTCACATAATTATGTATTATATACTACTCTACAATTCAATGTTTAAATAGCAAAATGCAATACTTACACGGTAAGAAGTCGGGTCCGTGTCGTACCATACTTATCAAAAAATATACCCAATGGTAAGGTCATTAAATCTCGTATAATAAACACAATCCCAAATAAAATCCGTAATTGATCTGTTTGTTCAAAACAACCCATAAACGTTTCTTCTTCAACCGCCGTATTACTTTCAGTCACCCATCCGACAGTTGTTAGGTCACCAAAAGTACCAATTCGTGATGTATTCCTATTTTCATCACGTTTACCTCGATGTTTCTTTCTACATTTCTTGCGGACTGGTACAACGGCCTTTTCAGTTTTAGGTTGACTAACGTCCAAAATTATAGGTACGTCATTAAACAACTGCTTATTAAACGGAAGCGTCATATTCGTAGTATTACACATATTGATAAAATATCCGTCCATCCGGAATAGCACTATAAACCACGACCATCCGATTACCACACCGGAGAAAAAAACACATTCAAATAACGTCCACAAAAAAGCGTAAAGACTTTTGGAGCACATTTTCGCCATCATGCAGGATGTAGGCGCTTATTTACTCAAATGATCTCTTTGAAAATACCCAGAAACTAAGCTTATCAATCTATCCTTCAATTGGAAATGCCAGAAGGTTAAGATATTTAATAATATCTAGTCCTGTCTTTATCGTTCGTTTAATCTGAATCTGTTCTTTAAGTTGTCAATCTAAGGTTTCTTATAATATTAGCTTACAAGGCCCATCGCTTTGGTTTACTTAATGGAAATACTGATCACATTGATAGACCGGTTTATCAGCATGCAATGTCGCTTGTCTGTTTAATTATTGACAGTCCCTTAATATACACGGTTATACAATCCTTCCAGTTTCAAAGTTAGAACCGATTCAATCAGCATTGGTTGATTGGCATAAGCCTATTTCGGGGCAAATTCCGGACTTTTATTTGTGACTCGAAAAATATATTACTCGTCTTTCAAAACTGGAATTAAATTTGTCATGAATGAAGTTAATCAACGCCTAAATCTTGACATCCATCTACAATATCATGTCCTCAAGTGTCTTCATTATCGTCGTCTCAGATTTCACACGTATAAACCGCGTCTGACGCTAGGGAAAACCTGAAAATAAGATAGTTTAACATCATTAGTTTGTTTTTATCTGAAAAATCAAAACGAAAAGTTGTAATGAGTTTAAGGAAATCTCTTAAAGTTATCGGATAGTTATTAGGTATGGCAAATATCAACATTAACATCACAATCAACAACAAATAAACAATAAAATCACAAACTTTCTTTTAGAAAAGTGTAATGAATAAAAATCAATCGTAACCACCAATATAATGCTACATTTTATATAATAGGTAGTCCTTGATCTTTATTAAAAAGGTTGTTTTGTGTTTGTGATTGCAAAAAAAAACAAACAACAAACGTACCATTTCCGGTGGCAACGTCCATGGCAATGACTCAAATGTAGTATAGGAACAAAATTCTTTGATAAATATACAGGTTCGTGATGCTGATAATGTTCAATTGTTCAGAGAAAAACATATGAAGCATTAGCGAATAAAAAGAGTCATGAATTAATAAATAAATAAACTCTCGAGTATCTATGTGTTGCGACAATAGATTACAATTCTTTTGTTTATGTATGCTGACTATCTGGTCTTTAGGGACTGGGGAATATGAGAGGAAAATCCAATCTATTGATTTAGCGTGTCTCACACTATAGACGTGTAACGTCACAACTAAACGATTAGAAAATCCATCAATTGATGCTTGGGTATGTGAAAATCTCTAGCCAACCGAATATCATCACTACCGCTATCCATGCGGCAAAGAAACACGACCACGTTTGCATTGTTTTTAACATAGGGAATATGTTCTGGGTGGGGTTGGGGTATTTGTCAAATTGGATGTCACAGTATGCGGTTTTGTAAGTGCTTCACGAAATGTTAGAGAGCCTTCAAAAACGAAACCACCTCATATTGTTGGTTATTTTAGTAGCAATAATATCGATACTTTACCAGTTTGAACAATATTCCGACAATCGCTGTAGCCTACATATGTATGTGTAGGTGTGATTAGCTATATAACCGGACAGTCTATAAAAAAAAGGTGTTGCTATTAAAGGCATAGCCTTATTTTTTTTTCTAAAAACTAAAAATAAAACTGAGAAAAGAAAAGCAGAAGTTACTTTATTTCAAGCAAGCCCTATGGTAGATTGTTCATTAGTGAATGTCCCAGGAGTAAGTCGCATTGTGGTAGGACTATCAGGTACTGATTATATTATTGTTATTGCTATGCTACTGTCTAATTATCTGTTATCTTTTTGTCTCGCAGGGCCTTATTATTGTTATTATGGTTGCTTATAATTATTTTAAAGGTTTCTTCTTATTATTAATCAGCTTGGTGTGAGCTAAAATATGTATAAATAGGCTGACTAGATGTATATTTGTCATGAACTTGAAACGTGACCGGCAAGTGTTACGAAACGTATAGATATTTAATAACAAAGAAGTAGTTATATCCATATATATCTTGTTTTGTGTTTTGTTTTAAACACCAACTACGTCAAGTTCACATTTGGGAACCCAACTGGTGTTTGTTGTTTGGAGATTATTCTATTTCATAATAAGCACAATAAAATATATAACATAATAACTGATATGCAATACAAATAACAAATATTGTACCGGAATTTTCACAATAACCAACTTTATTCCCTTTAAAAATATAAAACATATTCCAGAATGATGACAGTTTCATAATCCGATCATTGGCACAACCACAGGAGATGGAGTAGGCTTGGAAATGTTCGCAGTAATACTCTAGTCAATGTAACATGTGTACAGAAATCATTAAACGAATTGGGCCCTGTAATTGCCGTAAAGTTTAATAATTTTCAGCGGACCATCCGATATATACCGAAGAAAAAGTGAACATTCGGAAATAACTCTGCTTTTTATTGGCGAATCCAAAGAAATTACGGAACAAAATTTACGGAGTGAACCAAACCGATTACTGGGTAATAATAGTATGTTCGTCATCGTAAAGCCTGTGTTAAGTAGAGATTCTTCGCCCAGTTATCTCTTATTCCGAAAGAAAGATTTTAAAATTGCATGCAATGTTTTGTTGCTTTTTATACGCCCACATTTTCATGTGGACGTATATTGTCGTCGTCCCTATCCGTCCGTCCATAATTTGTTTGTGGACACTCTACAGGTCACAATTTATATTCGATTTTGACGAAACTTACAATATAGATCTATCTCCCAAAGATATCTGTTCCTTTCGATATTTGCATATATCGGACCATAACTTCATGGATTATGGCCCCTGATTGTACGAAAAATCACGTTTTTAGCTCGTGGACACTCTAGAGGTCACAATTTTTATCTGATTTTGATGAAACTTGAAATACATTTTTATAACCCAAAGATCTTGGCTCCTTTCGATATTTGCGCATATCGGATCGTGACTTCCTGAATTATGGCCTCTGATTGTACGAAAAATCGCGTTTTTAGCTTGTGGTCCCTCTAGAGGTCACCGTTATTCTCCGATTTAAAAAAAACCAAAAACGTTTGAATATATCACTGTCATACTGTAATGACGCTTAAGTTCGAATTTCGTGAAAAGCGGACCAAAACTATTAGACAAAATGGCCGCCCCTCGTACGCAAACATTGTAAAAATATTGTATATTAAGGTTGTGGACCCTCTAGAGGCAACAATTTTAATTCGATTTTGATGAAATTTGAAATACTTGTTTATAACCCAAAGATCTTGGTCCCGTTTGATATTCGCGCATATCAGATTGTAACTTCTTGAATTATGGCCCTTGATTGTACGAAAGATCGCGTTTTTAGCTTGCTAGAGGTCACAATTTTTATCCGATTGAAAAGAACGCTTGAATATTTCACCGTTCACACTAATGACGTCTGAGTTCCACTTGCATGAAAATCAGACCAAAATTGCCGGACAAAATGGCCGCCTCTCGTACGCAAATAGTGTAAATATATGGTATATCAAGGTTGTGGAACCTCTAGAAGTCACAATTTTGATCTGATTTTGACGGAACTTGAAATATATTTCTATAACTCAAAGATCGCGCATATCCGATCGTAACTTCCGGAATTATGGCCCTTGATTGTACGAAAAATCGCTTTTTGTTTTGGCTTGTTCTCTATCCATCTCTTGCTAAATGTGGACGTATCCTGCCTGGCAGCCGCTGGTTTTTACAAATAAGAAACAAACGTCTAATTTCAACAATGTGCAGAAACCCCGGTGTTCATACTGTAATTATGAAACTTGATAAATTAGGTTTACGAAAGAGTGAAAAAACATTGCACGAAACTGTGTTAGATAAAGCGCAAGCACACTCAGGTTGTACGTTAGTTTGTGAGCTATAATCAATATTCTTCCATTAATTACTTCGATTATTAATTCTTTGCGTTCTATAAAAATTAACATACTTTGTCAGCAAATACTTTTAGTGTTATGTTTAATATCATATGGTGGATCCTCCCACACAAATTAAAAGAATTGACCCTTCGATGGCCACATTGAAAATAAAGTATAAGTTGTCCAAACATGAGAAGGGTATACGACAAAACAAAACATATGATGCCAACAGGAAAATAAACATGGGGTTATAAACCACGACAGTCCCATTCACTTATGAATAAATTTTGTTTACAGAAAAATAAGTACATTTATATTATTCAGTTAAAAACTTAATTTAAAAGAACCACGCAGAGAAAGAGAGAAATGGCGATTAATGTCCACTCGACACAAACTAAGGCATTTAGGGACTAACACATGGTTGAATTTTTTATTTCAATAATTCGCTTGCGTATAGGGGTCTTTAGCAGTGGGGGGAAACCGGAGGACCCGGAGAAAACCCACGAGGTTCGAAACCATGCCAGCTGACTCAATGACAGACCTTATGATATAGCGCGCACGTGCTAACCATTCGGAAATCCAACCCCCAAAGAACATAGTGGCCTATAAGCCACTAGATATATCTATATAATTCTAAAATACAGATGAATATTAAACAAAACATATCACATTATGAAATAAACTCACATAACTTTTAAAAATCGTCATCTCCTTTAAAACATGTCAAATATATAATTGCATATTATATTGGGGTTGATATCACTGGACAAAATACTAATAACTTTCTCTTTTGAAGACATATTATAGACATTCACATTTGTCTAATGCATTTCATTATACATTTCGAAATACATTGGACATTCAATTAAAAAACGGGATTCTGTCTCAATGTCAGAACAGAGGGGACATAATGGACAAAAAGTGGGGTGGGGGATGACTGTATCATTATACATTTCGAAATACATTTGACATTCAATTAAAAACGGGATTCTGTCTCAGTGTCTGAGCAGAGGTGACGTAATGGACATATAAATTGGAGAGAGAGAGAGAGAAATGGAGTTTAACGTCCACTCGACACAAACTAGGTCATTTCGGGACTAACATATGGTTTTTAATTTTATTTCAATAATTCGCTTGCGCGTAGGGATCTTTAGCAGTGGGAGGAAACCGGAGAAAACCCACGAGGTTGGACAGGCGACCCTACTCCTTGTCACGTACAACCGGGGATTTGAAACCATGCCAGTTGACTCAATGACAGACTTTATGATACAGCGTGCACACGCTAACCATTCAGCCATCCAACCCCTCCATATCAATTGGGTGGTGGATGACTGTATCTTAGTGTTTAGATCACCAGGTAAGAGCTTAAAGTTATTAATGGTGACGTGGCTGTACGTACATGGCGTGGGAATATATTAAACATAAGGTTCGGTTTTCAAACCAGTTAGTCTCATCATTTAGTTTGGAATATGTAACGTTTTAAGGCTTATTTAATTTTAAGATTTTTTTTATCAGTGCGTGGAGGCTCATTTCCCAAGATTTAGCCCGTCTTGATGGCCATGAAGGTTTTTTCAGTTTGTCCAGGTGTTAATTGGCAATGTTGGTCATTGGCCCGGACGGTTGATGTGATTTCCTTTTAGCTAAGTAGACATTGAAACGAAAAATAATACTGAAGAGGATTTAAAAAAGAAACCTGAAATCATATAATAATTAAACACC